TCCTTTAGTAAGTTCTTCACAAGTCCACAACACGAGTAATCATTTTTACACATCATTTGCTGTTGCTGTGGTTGTCTTGTCCAAGCAGTGAAATCAAATGTCACCGAAGGCGTCCAAAACAGCCCTTGCTATGTCGACGACCTTTGGCGAATAAAGCATTTAATGGTCCGTGGGGTTTAAGTCTATGTAGTGAAGTTAGGCAATATAGAAGGACAGTTAAAAATATGATTAGGAGAAAGTTGAAAGTGAGGACAGTGAGGACAAATGTCATATCTACTTAAACCATCAGGGGATATTTTCATCCCCTTAAAGTGTCTTGTGCGTAGTCTGGCTATGGTGGTTGAAATTACACGGTTAGAATTAAGATCTGAAATGACGTGCCTCTTAACTGGATGAGAGGTGAATTTACGTCTGGTTATTGCCTCAGCATCAGTAAGGGTAAGTTGTGGTACCCTCTGGTTACTCCCTTACATCCGAACCCTCTTGTCTACCTGTAAACCCGGCTAGATGTGTAGGAGGAATAGAATAATCCACAGACATGTTTTCAATCTAACTAATTTATTAGTTCTTGTTATAGATCAGACACAATACAATTCTAATTAAGGTACAAGAACTATGGTGGAGTGCAGAGGTGAGATACTCTAATACGGGGATACTATTACAGACCCTCAACTAAATCTAAGACAGCTTAAATGCGCTCAAATACAACTACCTCACACACTAATAAATAACTTCTATTTAATTAAGAACATAGTATCTGAGCCTTTAATGTAGAGGATCCTACACTGTAACTTGCAGGTACTATCTTTGGCTTGTTCAATGTCGTAGGTTCCATGCTCTGCAATCCTTTTACAAATTCTCGAACTTCAAGTTCACTCCTAACTTGCCCACATCTAACGTATCAACTTCAGCTTGTCAACAACAACTTGTCAACAGATCACTTGCTCCCTTCCTTTCCTTCACTTTACTTCACTTGACTTAACTTAAACTCTTACTTCACTCTCCTGTCAACTCACTAAAACCGAATTTATCTAATATACTTCCTTTACATAAATCACGTTTGGTTTCTCGATGAAAGTTGGTTGAAATAAATATTTTGTTTTAAAGAGAAAAGAAGATATTAGTAGAACCGCGTATAGATCCGTCACAAAGTCTATTGGAAAGTTAAGGGGAATTTCGGACCTCCTTGGCAATTTTATCAGCCTACTCATTGCCGAAAATGTTTACGTGGACCAGTATCCATTGCAAAGTGCAAGTTCTTTGTGTGGGTTGTAACTACTCTAATAATAAGAGCAATTCTATCCTAGGTCACTTCAGAGTTGTAATGGATAAACATAATTTATCTATTAGAATAGGAGTAATATATTTGAAACTTAGTCACAACTTTTCACTTTTTACAGGAACTGAGGCAATTTGATGGCAAAGTTGCTAGCTTCACCGTTAGAGGGTGGACGGTAGATTTGAAACATATTAAAAAAAAAAAAAGATCACCATAAAGGATACAATAAAAGGAATACTAAACTGATTTGAACCTGGAATTTCTCATGTAAAGCGCTGAAGAACTGGAAGAGTAAAATTATCAGGAGTCTTATTTTTATTTGATTAAGTCTTGAAATTACCATAACTCTTTAAATGGTTCTCGAATTGGCGTTTATTGAATGATTTAAAAAAAAGTTAAGTTAAAATTGTATTATCTATAAAATAAATATACTTTAGAACATAAACCATTCCCCCCAAGTGCTTTTGTCATAATTCAAATGCGACTTAAAATTTTAATTAAATTAAAATTTAATTTTAATACAAAAATACATAAATTACTAAATAACTTGCTTTTTAAGAACAATAGCATTTTTTTACAGGCATAAGTGGTAATAAAGCATCTAATTCCGAATTCTATCAAAGATTTCTTATTGAATCGATTGAATTTTTTACAATTATTTCTATAATGAAATAATTAAATTTTTTTTATTTAAAGAATTGCGTAAAATAAACATTACGATTTTTCGTAGTTCTCTCAAAACTATTTGTAAATTCAATATCAAGAGTTTTGTTCATAATCTAACAATTTTTCACCTAGTTAATTTATTACTTTACTTTGTTTAAAAATTAACTTGATTATGATTGTATCCCTTAACATTTGTAATAGAAAGTTGAACTGAGTAAAAATCCTCATATTAGAGTTATTGAATATCTTTTGCTTGAAAATATGCCATTTTGCCCACACATAAGATTTTGTGCAAGAATAATTTTTAAGTTTTTGATAGATTTTTTATACTCTTAGCTCTTATAGAATTAATTACATTCCAGTTATCCATTTTCTTGCTTTTATTCTTTATTTTTGTACCACTTCTTTCTCTAACCATTTTTTTTATAAATATAGATACTCCAGAAGTGTAAAAGAAATGAATTTCCAAAGAAAAAAGAAGTAAGGGTTAAGCCTACGAAAAATTCGAAAGGAGAAAAATACGTTTAAAACGATATAAGAATTTATAGAGAACTAGTAATAGAATCCGTCTGAGCAGCCATCCCGTTAAAGGAAATGTCATATACTGTCATACGAGAAGAAAAGGATGAAGAAAGTCCGATTTTTTTGACAGGAAGGAACACCAAAGAAAGTAAATGGATGACTCTGTCTTATCTATCCGAAAATTAAGTAGAAAAAGAGTTACAAGAGTTGCAGGAAAAAGTTGTCTAAGACTAGAGAACCACTGAAGGAAACTTGGAAAGAAGTAGAATCGTTTGCACGAAATTTGTCCTTAATGGAATAAATTCTTAATGAAGTGCGACAGCAGAGCAAGGGAATGAAAGGGGAAAAAATCCTTCTTTTGCATAGAAAGTCAGGTTAGGAAGGTAGTATATAGGTCTATCTTTATGAGAATATACTTATAAAAAGATTTTTTCTTCGAAATAATGGTTTCTAGTTTGGTGCAAGCTATAAATCACACATGTTAGGGAGTGTATTTTTTATTCAAGATTAATGGAACATATAGAATTTCCAGAATGAGTAAACCATAGAATTTTAAATCGGATGCCCGCATAAGGTGCACGAAAACTGCTGTACTCTTGTTACTTCTCTCAATTATTGTTCTTTAATCGTCAGATATCTTTTCTGGGATTTTTCTTAATGTTTCTAGACTAATTGAAATGTGTTCATGGATTTTAAGAAAAGACGAGCGTTACATTTCTTGAAACCTACAATTGAAATTGCCTTTTCTATAGTCTCCCGCTGATTTGGCACCTCCTTCCACTATTGCACATTTAGTGATTTATAAGTCTAATCGCGCGTTTGCTCTTTAGTTTCATAGAATGTTGGATAATATCACTCCCTTGTTAGTATACGTGAAAATGAAATTTAACATCAGGAAAATTTACTAATTATACTACTTTAATGATGGTCACAACTATAATTTTATTTATTTGTCGTTTTACTGTAAAATTTTCATTTATATTAACTAATGTAATTTATACTAAACTCCGTTCAGTAAGTTACAGGAACTTCAATTAAACATACAGTTCACTAAATTTTGAATACCAGTAAAATGTGGCTGATAGAAAAAAAAATTCAGCACTTGTAAATAATGTAAGAATCTACAATTTATGTTTCTTGTAAAGTTTTTATTTTTGAAGCAAAAAAATGATCTTTACATAATGAAATAATAATTATCTTATATCTTACTTAATGAAATAATAATTCTGAATAAGTTTTGAAAATAAAAAATACAATTATCTAATGAAAATTTAGACCAGTGCCAGGGACGCCTTTAAGACTCTTTGATGACCCGGTCGCAGAGAAATCTTAAGATTTTTGAGGCCTTGGACCCCTATGCAAAAGTAGGCTCTACCTCAGATCTTTAAAAATAGACAGTATATCCCATGTTTGCTAAATACTCTTTCAAACGGTAATTTGAAACAAATGGACTCGACTCACAATCTCAAGAACCTCGGCAAAAGCCGGCTCGACCGATGGCCACATTTCGACTAATTAAGTCGATTGTTCATGGTATTAGGCCTAGCCCTAGACATGGGCAACAGTTATAACATAATACTACTGTCTTACCCCTTTTGCCATTTGACATGCAGTTTGAAAAAATTCCCTGTTTTTCAAAGAATATATACAGGGATAATATTTGACCATTAAAATTATCTTGATCATGGCCTTACAAAGACAGAGTAAAGAACGAAACGAAGCCCTGGGCCCAGGCACATTTAGCCCACGCCTTAAGACGTCTCTGACCAGAGAGATTGACATATAAATGAAGTAATAATAATTTATATATGAATATACAGTCATTTGTTTCAAGTGATTACATGTAAAAGTTAATTTTCAATACTTTGCAAATCTTCCGCCATGCAGCGGTCTGACATGGAAGATATTAGTTTATATGATGTGATCATTGCTGGTTTCATAGCACCAAACGCTAACGATAATGGAGGATAAAACAAAAGATTAATAATGGTAATGGATGTTTGTGCAGCAATTTTAGTATTCATAATACACCAATATTATTCACAGGATGATGCAAAACTTTGCGACAGATTTTTTGAGATTAGACTGAACCTAAATTTGGGGGGGGGGGAGAGGGGTAAAATGCTAGGTAAATTATTTTTGAAGCACAAATAGCATTCTGAAAAGAAAAACCTATAACTAATGTATCAAAATTATTAATGAATAACTTAAATATTATTTACATATTTTGTTTTAGCGGTTTCTACAAACATACAATAGGTTACTGATCCGTGGAGATGGTTGGCCATGGAAGAGTGGGAATATGAAGTAGAAAGACCTGAACTGTAAACGGACGAGAAATATTTCGCTAAGAAAAATCTAATGAAAAGACGTTTAAGATAATCCAAGGGGGATCAAAGAATATACTTAACATCATGCTGGCCGGTTAAGGTTCCCCATCCAACGATTATATTAGACAAGTTGTCATAGTCTATGTCCCTCTAGACTATTATGTCTGCTGTGCGGACAGAGGGTCACGTGACAGTATGGCCGTTGGCCATACCATGCTATAAACATCGGTTCTCCTCCGATCACCGAAGTTAGGCATAATCGGGGGTGGTCAGAGTACTTGGGAGGGTGACCACCTGGGCACACCGCGTGCCTTTGGCATTTTCTCTGAGGTCGTGGGTAGCCTAGTAGTCAGAGCGTCAGACTCCAGACCAGAAGGCCTGAGTTCGATGCTCGATGCCACCAAATACCCTCCAAATACGCATGAAATATATGCTCGTTAAATTAGTGGGTTGAAAAGTCTTGTGGGCGGTCGCAGCGGAAACCACGGATGCAAGGAGCTGGAGAATTTTCCCCTCCCCTCCAGTTCCATGCCTAAATGTTAGAAGTGGAGATAAGTGGTACCTCAGAAGATAGATAGAAGTACAACCTGTCTCAGGCTCTGGCAACTTTCATTCCTTCCCTGAGGGAAGGATACGACAACAACAACACCAAGGCTTCTCCACACCCATAAGCCCTTTCCGTTCTCGTACCCACGCCGTATGCTTTTATTATCTGTACACAAAACAAACCGGAATTTATCGCAGATAATCACATTTTGTCAATCTTTATCATTGCATTCTACTCTGGACTTTTATTACTATAGACTGAGCCACTGATGTTGAAATCAGTGCATGAAAATATCGCATGGATTACAGATTCTCTTACACATGCCTGAAAATGGTTTGTGAAACAACTGGTAGTTGTTCTATATCTGTTTGTATCAAGGAACGAGTCACAGTAGGATCCCGGAATACTTACCGCATAATCCTTTGATATACTTGCCTCGCCTTCATCAAGATCTCTACAGAGTAGGTTCACTGTATGTTAGTACTACTTCGTGCTCATTGCTCCCAACATGCTCAGATGGCCCACTCCGAACGATCTACGTGGTATGTCAAGTAGCATTTGGTGATCAGGCCCATCAGGCTTAACTGTGCAAAACGTCTTCTTGCACGTCTACCTGGCATCCTTCGTCTGTTTAAATTATATTCCAGTTCCAGAATTGGAATACTATTGTGATAAATATGAATCTTCCTCTGTGCAATGGATTATTTAGGATTTTATTCCTGATTGGTAGCTTCAGTATAGGATGCATGCATGGTCACGTGTATTATCTTTAGACTTAGATAATTTTTACATACGGCATTCATTCAACTAATTTTCAAAGTTTCACGATTGTAACTCGATTCCTTCTTGATACACTATTTTCAGTATTATTGAGTGTATTTTAAGGAAATAAGGTAACGAAAAATAGGTTGATATGATTCAAAAGATACCATACGACAGTTACGGTGCCTAAACATGATCATATGTATGATTTATCAAAGCTTATATACATATATATATATATATATATATATATATATATATAAGAAAAGTTTAAAAGACAGGCTAAAAAAGCAAACAAATAATGACATGGATAATGACTTTTATTTATTACAACAATACAGTTTTCATGGAGCGAATTAATGCAGGAAATGAGAGAGTTTATAAACCTTTTGACATTCAGTTCCACTCCTGTATTAACACAACTTTCAAGTCATGGATACTTTTGAGAGGTAAAAGATGAGTTAGATTGCTCTCTTACGAATATTCCAAATACGGTAAGAAACGCTCAAAGCGAAACTAAATGGACCGAAGTATTTCTTCGTATTAAAAGAATTTCGGTCTAAAGGATATTGAAAACAACAACAACAAACATCAACACACACAATATTAAGTTTATTTTATTTACATATTTATGCATATATGTATAGATTTAATAAGATGCAATGAAACAGAAACATTCACAAGAAATTAAGGTAATTTAATGCATAATTTTCAAATTATTTAAAAAAACGAAACATTTATTGAGTTTTGGGAAAATAATCTGATATTTTCATTTGCATTATTTGTATTAGCATCAAATTCTCATCAATTTGTTCGATATCGTCTATTTGGTTATTCATTTCATCATTGGAATGTGCGTCTAAGTAACTGCACATACATTTTATGACCTTCCCTTATTTCGGATCACGTGGGAACAGAAGCTGCATTACTTATTTCACCGTCATCGCCGGACTCTGCATCAATGATATTTTTTAAGCTTTGAATAATCTCCAAAATGCCTTTGTCTGCCATAATTGGGGCTGTACAAACATTATTTTCATCTACTGCAACGAATTCTTTAAACACCACTTAAAGTTCGCTTGCCAGGCTGGTGTTTTCCGGATTTTTTTCATTCCCAAAAGGGAAATCTTTTCGTGTTAAGTGATATTCGTTATACAAATATTACAGTATGTTCTTATTCTCTATTTTGGTAGCGATATAACAGTATGTCCTGTATAAGTTAGTATGGATTTAGTGGCACCACGTGGGGTGCCATTGAAACGTATATCCCTGACATCCGTTAGTGATTGGGAGTTAGAGTGAATACCAGCCATAATCACACACACACACACACACACACACACACACACACACACACACACACACACACACACACACACACACACACACACACACACACACACACACCACACACACACACACACACACACACACACACACACACACACACACACACACACACACACACACACACAAATATAATTTATTAATTCTTTAAAAAGTCTCACAAGCCCATGCTAGGAAATTACAATTAAAAATTGGAGCAAAAGTGAGGTAGACGAGATATTTAATTTTTAAAATATGAATTTAATCACTTACATACTCTTGGAACGGTTTGGTAAAATACGTTCTAAATAATCGTAATTCTAATCTCCACTAATCGACCTCTAGTCGACCACAATCAAATTCAAATATATCTCAATGACCAAACCTTCAGTAATTAATCTTAAAGCACATAACTAGGTTCGAAGGCCAATTTTTCAAAAATTGTTTTTCTGAAGAATTTTATTGTTCTAAAGAAAATAAAAAAAATAGGCTTAAAGAATTATAATTATGAAAAAAATAATATGCATCACCCCTGTTTTTGTAAAAAAAAATTATTTTCATAGACTTTTAAAAAACTTCAATTTCAAGAAAACAGTGTAAAAAAATATATTGGACATAATGTAGTTTTAATTGCATTGATATATTTTTTGATCCCCCTGAAGTTCACAAACCGCACAAGTTGAACAATATTTTCAAACTAAATATTTAATAAGCATTCGAACTTCACGTTAATGATTTTTCGTCAAAATTACTGTATGTTCTAAACTAAAAAGGGCTATAAAATGTGAATAAATGTAAGTATTTTAAATCCTGCGGTTTGCTACACTTTCAAGGCCTTATAACATAAGTATTGCAAATTTCACTGAATTTTATATAATTGTTTTGGAAAGATCCCAGTTTTCGTGCAAAAATTATCGTGAAAATTTCATTCTTCAAAAGCACATTTTAAAAAATATACTTACAAATTACATAAAGTAAATATTAAAAAAAAAAAAAAACCTTTCAATTCTCCAAAATTTTTGTTCAAGGAACCCTTAGAACTATAAGGTGTTTTAGGGGAACCAAATTCCACACTCTATCCTTGAAGAATATATCTGAAAATAATACATATTATACGTTAAACTCTTTGCGTGTACTTTATGTAAAGACAATTAAAAAAAGTATTATATTTGTCAATAAAATACACTCATGTTCATAAATTAAGGATAATTCAGAATCACACAGAAATTGAACTCTAAAATAAAAATTTCACCTGTAGAATTATCACACACATCTTGAAGAAGAATATGCAAATTACAGAAAACCACCAGATGGCGCGGATAGTACTTCACAATGACGATAGTGTAAGAGAAGGGTATATAAGGAATGGTGGCAAAGAAGTAAAATTGTTCACAAGCGCTTTAAAAACCTTTCAGTGCAATAACTGCATAGTTATGGCCCAAAGGAAGCATTCGGATAATTTTTTACGTGGTAGAATTATCGAACGACTTGAATGTGGACGTACCCAACTGGAAGTATCCGAGGAACTTGGAATCGCCCAGAGTGTCATCTCCAGACTTTGGCAACGATTACAAGATGATGGTATTGTGAGTAGATGTTACAGCATAGGTCACCCAAGAGTTACAACGCGGAATGAGGACCGGTATTTGGCAGTTACTGCCAAAAGAAACAGACGGAGCACAGCATCAGACCTATTTCGTCATTTCTCCTCAGCTACCGTTACGACAGTTTCAAGGCAGACCGTGTACAGACACTTAGAGCACATCGGTCTATATGCTCGTAGGCCTATCAGATGTGTTCCCCTTACCGCAACTCACTTCTGCCTGCGATTAAATTGGAGTAGAGAGCATGCATTGTGGACACCACAACAGTGGTCTTGTGTGATGTTTTCTGACGAGTCCAGGTTTAGTTTGCAGTCTGATTCTCGCCGGACATTCATATGGAGAGCGCCAAGTACCCGTTACCACCAAGAGAACAGCATTAAACGGCACTGTTACGGTGGTGCAGGATGGCTCGTTTGGGGAGGAATTATTCTTGGTTCCAGAACTGACCTGCATGTTCAGAGTGTAACAATGACAGGCCACATCTATCGGGATGTCATTCTGGAACAACATGTACGTTTGTTTCGGGGCGCTATGGGTGCTGAATTTCTGTTTATGGATGACAACACCCGTCTTCACCGTGCAAAAACTGTAGACGAATGCCTTCAATCGGAGGGTATCACCCGTATGGGTTAGCCAGCATACTCACCGGACTTGAATCCAATAGAACATGTGTGGGATATGCTTGGCCGATGAATTGCAGCCCGTCAACCCCCTCCCACCGGTCTACCGGAACTTCGGAGGGCATTGCTGATGAGTGGTGTAATATTCCACAAGATCAGATTGATAATTTGATACTCAGCATGCGTAGGCGTTCTAAGGCCTGTATTGCATAGTCCGGGAGACATACTCCGTATTAACCATCATACTAACCATGTTATACTGTTTTTTGTAAATAAGTTCTTTTTTGTAATTTGCTCCAGGGAGTAAAAATCGCAATTTTTATTAATTATGTCAAACATATAGCATTTTTTTTGCTCTTTACCTTTTGTTTAATAAATAGGCTTTACAAATAAGTCAAATTTGTTTTGCGTCTGTCTTTTTCTTTGCCTGAACTTCATTATTCTTAATATAT